GGATGCGCCAATAGATGGGCTACATGGGTCTGAGGTTGAAATTTCAAAATTCAAGATGGCGGCTTAAACAGCGACCATTTTATCTAGAAAATTGATCATTTTTCATAACTTTCACTTTATAGAGCTGATTTTGGCGTTTTTGGTAACACATCTCCGAATACTTTTAACAAAAAATATGTATTCAGCTGAAGTGTTGCCAGATGAAAAAATCCGAACATTTTTTGATACCGGGATTTTTGAGAAATTCTCATGTATGTCATTTATGAAAAATGTTTAAACATTTCTTTACAATAATTTTACTGTTTGACAAAAAGTTTACTATTGCATTTATAACATAATTGATGGAATAATTTGTGTGATCGACTAGCAACACTGATAGTAGTCACCATAAATTTACGAATGATTCTGACCGAGTTGGACTCGGGAGCTTTATAGCATATATATATATATATATATATATATATATATATATATATATAGACCGTTTGTGTATCTTTACCCAATCTTTACGTGGTGAGAAAAAAAATCCAATATTTTAGCCAGAAAAATAAAGCGAGCGAGACATTGTCATTCGGTTAGATTAGAACTGTGACTAAAACAAAAAGCGAGCGAAGCGAGCCATAAAGGGTGACCATTTAGAGAGATTTGATTAATTGGTAAGGTTAGATTTGTGACTAAAATAAAATGCGAGCGAAGCGAGCCCTAAAGAACACCATCAATAGAAATCTGATCAATCAGTTAGATTAGAACTATGAATAAAACAAAAGGCGAGCGAACCGAGCCATAATAAATGGAGACCTGGTCAATCGTTTAAGGGACTGTGATTAAAATAAAGAGCGAGCGAAGCGAGCCATAATACGAGACCATGAAAAGAGACCTGATCAATCGGTTATGTTAGCACTGTGACTAAAACAAAATGCGAGCGAAGCGAGCCATAAAGAGTAACCATTAAGAGAGATTTGGTTAATCGGTAAGGTTAGAACTGTAAATAAAATAAAATGCGAGCGAAGCGAGCCTTAAAGAACACCATCAATAGAGACCTGATCAATCAGTTAGATTAGAACTGTCAATAAAACAAAAAGCGAGCGAAGCGAGCCATAGGGAGTAACTGTTAAGAGATATTTGGTTAATTGATAGGGTTAGAACTGTGATTTAAATAAAATGCGAACGAAGCGAGTCATAAAGGACACCATTAATAGAGACCTGGTCAATTGGTTAGATTAGAACTGCGAAAAAACAAAAAGTAAAAGCGAGCGAAGCGAGCCATAATAAATGGAGACCTGGTCAATCGGTTTAGGAACTGTGACCAAATTCACTTATAAGTGTGCTATTTAGGTCTGAATCTGAAATTTTAAAATTCAAATGGCGGCTAAGACAGCTTCCATTTTATCTAGAAAATGTATTATTTTGGCGTTATTGATAACATTTTTCAGATTACTTACAGAAAAAAAATTTATTCAGTTGAAGGATGATAAAAAACTGTTTTTTTTTTTTGATACTGTGATTTTTAGGAAATTTTCTATTGAATAAGAATACTTTATACTTTAAGGCGATGTATACAACATTTATTTTAAGTTTTCTTACGTTTTTCAACTGAATATTTCTTTTTATATTGCGTGTAAACTGGCAATCTTTTTTTTATGTATGATGTTTTGCGTAATTAAAGATCTTTTATTTGAAGATAGAACTTACTAACTTTTTCTAGGCAATTTCAAACTGTAAACATAACAAGAGGCGGACTTAAAACCCCACCGCTCCGATCCCACAAGCGACTCGTTTATGCTCAAGAACCTTACAATAAGTAAAGCAACAAAAACTTGTATAGGTTTATTATGACATATGGGTTAGGTTAGGTTAGTGTATGAGAAACAACGCACGAGCCGAGCGAGCGTAGCGAGCGTGCCGCGGCAGCGGCCGGCGAAGTGCCAGCAACGAATCGCTTTTGTTGATGGTAACATTTGGTTTATAATGTTTAAAAGATGATCGTGACCATTTTAATTTCAATTTTGATTTCGATGGACTTGAAAATTCGGGATCTTTATAGCGTGTATAAATGGACCATTTGTGTAGGTATCTTTACTCACACTTTCACATAGGTAAGTATGGAGAAAAGAAAATCCAATTTTTGACACTATATTTAATACTTAAAATATATTTTATAAGAAAGAAGAGAACTATAATTTATTTTGAGTTTTGCTTGCGACTGAATATTTCTTTTTCTGTTAAGCGTAAACTGGCAACCCTTTTTCTTTGATATATGGAGCTTAAACACCATTCAGTTGAAGACAGAACTTACTAACTTTTTGAAGGCGATTTCAAACTATAAAACAAACAACAACAAAAAATCGAACAACTCAAATTCTGCAACGGAGGCGGACTTAAAACCCCATCGCCCCGATTCCACTAGCTACTCGTGACCTCCCCGGGCTGCTCGCAGCCCAGGGCAACCAAGCGAAAGCTTCTATTCTGAAACGAAGGCGGACTTAAAACCCCACCGCATTGTGAATCGATCTAATACGAGGGTCAAACTGAAAGTTCTTAGAACTGGCCACTTATAAACAATATAATAAAAAAATAATTCTAAAATTTGAAAATATAACTCTTTGCCAATATTACTGAGTATATATTTCATTCATTTGTCATTTGTTTTACGATTTGGCGGCAAATTGAAAATTGTCTGTGTCACGTCATCATGAATTTAACACGAGAAAATTTTCGTGCAATGATTTTTTATGACTTTCGATGTCATTTAAGTCAACAAGAAAGTTATGATAGACTACGATTGGCCTTTCACGATGAAGCCCCATCTCGTGCGACTGTTTACAACTGGTTTAATGAGTTTAAACGTGGTCGCACTAATCTCACTGATGATTTACGTGAGGGACGGCCTTCTACGGCGACGACTGAAGATAACATCTGTGTTGTGCGGCGTATGATAGAGACTGACAAAAGAGTGACCTATCAACAGATTCGGACAAGCTTAGGCATCGGTATGAGTCAAGTGCACAAAATCCTCCACGAACATTTAGCGGTCAGGAAGCTTTGCGCCCGGTGGATACCTCATAATTTGACTGAGGCTCAAAAACTCCATCGTGTGGATTGGTGTCGTAAAATGATTGAAAGAGTTAACGGAGGTGACTCAAATGCTGTGTTCGACATACTAACAGGTGACGAAAGCTGGATTTACTGTTATGATCCTAATACCAAAAGACAATCTGCTCAGTGGGTGTTTCCTTTCGAGGAGTTGCCAACTAAAGTGAAGAGAGATCGAAGTGCGGGAAAAAAAATGGTGGCCTCGTTCTTTGGAAGGATAGGTCATTTTGCAACAATTGTGTTAGAGGATCAAAAAACAGTTTCTGCAGAATGGTACACTACCAATTGTTTGCCACTTGTCTTGGAAAAAGTTTGAGAGAAACGACCTCGCAGTAGGATCCTCCTTCACCACGACAACGCCTCGTCGCACACCGCCAAGCGAACGATCGACTATTTGGCGACATCAAACGTTGAATTACTGGGTCACCCGCCGTATAGCCCCGACCTCGCGCCTTGTGATTTTTATTTATTTCCAAAAATTAAAGAAAAACTTAAAGGAAAGCGGTTTATGAATGCTGAAGATGCGGTGGCTGCGTATCGCGATGCCATTGAAGAGACCCCTAAGGACGAGTGGGCAAAGTGCTTTTCCCAGTGGTTCCATCGCATGCAGCGGTGTATTGACGTGAATGGACAATATTTTGAAAAGATATAATAAAACTAATAACTGGCTAATGTAATCAGTTTTTGATTTTCTAAGAACTTTCAGTTTGACCCTCGTATCTGGCCACGACATCGATTCCCTTTTCATATAATAAATAAATCTTACATAAATAATGTAATGTAATAATGCATATACAATAAATACTATTTCTTGACATTTAATTGATTAATTAATGATAGTAACACTGCTGGAAATATATGTTCGATTGTTTTTTAATATTATACAGTAATTTACTAATAAATAAGAATAAGAGAATAAAAGACAAAACTTATTTTAAGTATCTATATAAAATTTATTTTAAGTTTTGCTTGCGTTTGTCGACTGAATATTTATTTTTCTATTAAGTGTCAACTGGCAACACTTTTTCTTTGATGTATGGTGCTTTGTGTCCTTTAACACCTTTTATTTGAAGATAGAACTTACTGACCTTTTCTGCGCATTTTCAAACTGTAAACCCGACATAACAATAGGCGGACTTGAAACCCCACCGCCCCGATTCCACCAGCTACTCGTTACCTCCCCGGGCTGCTCGCAGCCCGGGGCAACCAAGCGAAAGCTAGTTATATCGTTATAAAGTTCAATATTGTTTTGATAATTTGTATTATTGCCCTCGTGTTATCTAATTGTTGAGCTAATACTGGACCACACAACGCGTCGTAGCCCTGTAAATTAAATAATTATTTAAAACTAAGCAGGATGTGCTGTGGGTGTTCTAGTGAAAACTTAGGCTTACAATTCTAATAACATTCTACTAATTAAAAAGTTTTCTATCCATTATTTTGTGGAGTATATTCATTAGGTACATATACAATGCAAATCATCGTTATGTACCACTACTAAATCTTATATAATACGCCAGTAAAATTGTACGTTTATGAATTGTAATATAACTATTCTAAAAATATTATTTACTCTAGTATACTAATGCCGCATCTACGCACCGTTGACATTGATGTATTGTGAAGTAAACACACGAATTAGTTAGCGTATATTCTATTTTACTGATTTTATGAATGTCAAAATGAGGATATTATTGTGTTTAATTGAATTTTTGTTATAAAATATTTTTATTCTCTCAAAATTGCTCCTTAATTAATTAGTTTACGCAGACGAAGTTGCAATCACTAGAAACCTAGTGTACTATACTTTTAAAAACTCATGATACATATTGCCTTACTGGTTGGTTCTTACACAAATAGCTATTGAAGAACATTATGGTTACATATTGTATACTATTTGTCAACAGGCCATGGTTGCTTGCTATCCTGGGCTAGGTAGCCACTACGTGAAGCACGTGGATAACCCCAATAAAGATGGCCGCTGTATCACAGCTATATATTACCTCAACCTAGACTGGGATGTGGAGAAGTGTGGGGGCTTGCTCAGGTACATTAGAACAAGTTTACATAGATTTTTTTACAAAATCTGATTTTGATCGCCTGAGCTTTCGAAAAAAAGGTAAATATAGATTTGGCATTGTAAATGTAAAACTTAACTTGGTAAGGTTTTCATACCCTTATCAATAAGTTAAAGCAAAATTTGTATAGCGGCAACAAGATTTAAATAGTAGCCACGTTTTCAATGCTTCAAAATCGCCTTTAAATGTAAAGCGCAATCAAGATTACAGTGTTTGATCATGAACTTGAATATTTAATTTTAGAAACTATAACAGTACTGCTTTACTCAAAATTCACAAAAAAATGTTCTTTATTGTTTGAAAGTAATGTATCAATAACTAGCCATATAATGGTTATGGCTAGTTATTCATACATTACTTTAATTAATTGATAAAACATATACTGGCTTCAAATATCTCACGATCGTGCGTTGATATCTTTAAATGTTTAATATATCGTATATTTTTTGTCTTTCATAAAGTATAAAAGGTAATAAGAATATGCTATTTTTTCTCTATTTTGGATATTTAGAGAGCATGAATTTATTTATAATTAAATATTTATAACACAGGGTATTTCCGGAAGGCACCGACCAAGTAGCGGACATTGCACCTATCTTCGATCGTATGTTATTCTTTTGGTCTGATCGACGGAATCCACACGAGGTTCAGCCAGCGTATAGCACTAGGTACGCATGTCGTTATTACCATGAAATAGTTTAGAGTTTAAAAAAGAGGACATGACTGCTTATCACCGTCAATTATACATTAACTAACACAGTGGCATTCTTTTTAAAGTTTAAATATTTCCTAAGTTGTTGAATTTAATTGATAAATTTGATAATTAAACGAAAAAAACTTTAATAAAAGTTTATTAGATACAATTATCCAACATGTTAGATACATTATCCTACATGTGACAATAGTTTCACCAATTCTGGTTCACCAACTCTCTAAATTATGCTAAAAAACTAATTTTATTTGGGTTTAATTTAACTCTTTTTTGTTGTCACCGTCATAAAGATTATAATTATAATCATTTGTTATATACTAAGTATACTTAAGTCACTATCAGAGTGGTTTACCGATTTCAATAAACAGTTTGACAAGCGTAAAAGCCATTTTAGTCTAGCTTATGCCTACACAATTGCCACCTATATCCTAAACAACAAAACATCATATAAATAGATACATACATTAGATGCTCCCATAACTCTTCGGCACAGGTGCGTTATGAAATCAATAGAACTGAAATCGAACCTCGCTGAGCTAAATGTTTGTATTATGAATGACACTACCTCGAAGCTATTATTAACACAAATATTTAGTTTATTAGAATGGATGAGTGGGATATTGTTAATGTACTTATTGTTGATAATATTGCCAGTATAATTAATATGAAATTTCGAGGTTCGCTTATCTGCCTGTTTGTCACTCGTTCGTACTTGACCGGATGGATGGATTTAGATGAAATTTCGATAAGTGGTGTCGACAAGCTAACGCCACATGTATGCGTCGATATCGATTTTTTTGGTCCCTTATTTAAATAGCGATTACTTTTCCTTTATGACATTATGATCAATTAAATAAACATTTCAGATACGCCATCACTTTATGGTATTTCGACAGTCAAGAACGAGAAATAGCGTTGAAGAAATACAGTAAGTTTTTGCTTATAGATTTTTACGTATGGTAGAACTTTTTATGACTTAATCATATGGAATAAAACTTATAATGGAATAAAGAAAATCAATTAGCAGGGTTGAGATTAGGGTAAGCGACCCACCTTGCCCCACTGTGATGAACGCTACTTAAAACATGCTTATGAACTTGATTCACATACATATATTAATTTAGTTAACAGATTACATATAGGTATGTGATTTTTTTATCAACACCATATACTTGACAGTGACAAATTCCATATTATAACTCGTTCGAATCAACATTACACCCGAGGACCTATTATATTTGTCCTCGAACAAATATTCAAATCCCGAATCCTTAAAATAATGTTCTTAAAATCTGTCTGTACATCATAGGCAGTGTCAGGTCCTACCTCCATTGCATCATTATGCAAAAATGCGTTCCTTTGGAATCGTATTAGCCTTTCGAAAATAGATGAAATTTCGTTTTCGGAGAAATGGAACAGGCCTTGTGTCATGTTAATTCGTACGAGTAATAATTATAAACACGAAAGAAACTATTGGTCTATTCCGCTTTCACGGTCACATCATTGGCAACCGATTGTGATACGTTTTCCCTGTATTTACGTGAACGAAGTAGCAGGTAAATAGTATAAAAACCTTTTTTTTTTCAATGACTAGGATATAATAATTGTGTTGGTTTATAATCAACACTACACGATTGTTAAGTACCTGAACAATGACTGAGTCATTAACGAGGATGTTTGAAGTAGATTTGTTTGTAATTTACACACGATACTAGTCACGTACGCTTTCTTAACGATCCCCGCTTAGCAGTTGCGCACCAACTCGAACATGAGATATGTTTGTAATGTTCTTGAACTTGTCCTAATAAAGCGTATATTTTAGACACTTACCACAGAGTATCTATCAATCATTACTCATTTGCACTACGTGTGTCTGTGGAGAAAATTGACAGATTGTATTTGATATATAACCTGTCATGCTGTTGACTCTACAATGACATTATTTCTTTATATAATAGTCGTGATAATGAAAAAGTAACATACATACGATCAGTTGCAAAAACGTTCAATTAGTTTTAATGACGCCTTTATGCTCTAATAAATGTCAAATTTGTATAGGTAATGTTGCTTTAAACTAATGAGAATAGGGATGACGACTAATTTTTGTTTGTCTGTCCGTCAGGTAGATTGTTGAAAAATATAAAACAATATTTTTTCATGATCATTGAACTACTGAGATAGTAAAATGTCGCAGGACGTCACGCTTTGGTACATTTTCTATAAAACTGTGACGTAGCGAGCCCCCACTCCTCGACTTTAATACCTGTTATCTAATTCTTGTTAAATTTAAAACTTTTATATTCTCTGACTGACAGACTAAATAGTCTTTTTTTTACCCAGTTGTCATCGATAGTTACAAAACCCTGTCATGATAAAAAAGTTAATTATAAGATAATTCAGAATAATATTTATTCGTATTTTTTTTTATCATTAGAAGAGGAGCATGCGGCGTTATTGCAGCAGTACAGCCAAAGGAAATGAAGTTCTGAGCGTTGCAATACTAATGCCCACGCCACACCGAGGTACTACTTTACCACCGCATTTCCACATGTAAGTATCAATTTTATTGTTATGAGTTTATCAGCCAGTTGCACAAACGTCCATTAAAATTGTCACTTGTTTAAAGCGACATTACCGATACAAATATAACATTAATTAGAGATTAAAGGTGTCATTAAAGCTTAATGGACATTTATGCAACTGACTGATTGCGAGGTATGGGCAGGCAAAATCGATAGATGGACAAAAGTCCCTGAATGCAATGACATCGCATAATTAAAGAAAAATTTATTAATAGCGAACTAATATATACTAATCCTATTAATATTATAAATGTGAAAGTTTCTTTGTTTGGATGTTTAGATGTTTGTCCGTCAATCACGCCGAAACTACTAAACGGATTTTGATGAAATTTGGTATACAGATAGAGTACCAGCTGATTTAGATAATAGGATACTATTTATCCCACTTAACATTTCCCTAGGGTTTCTTAGGTATATATTGGCGAAAGCCAGTAGATCATAAGCCCATTAAGGTTGCCACTGCCAAGTCATTCTAATGAATGAAATCGAATATACTTTTTAGCAACAACTGCAGATGGAAAAGGAACTAATAGGATAATGTGCCTTCCGTAGCACGAATGAGGTTCGAGATAATAAATTTTTGGTCTGTGGTGGTCTCTATGAAAGGGGCATTGAGTTTCTGATAGTCTTGAACTACGAATTCTTTTTTCGAACCGGAACAACACCTTTCTAGTGACGCTCCTTTATAATAAAGAGTTCCTCGAATGCAAAATAACAACGTAACCACATATTAATTATGTTTCATTTTTATTTTTCAGATTTTCACCGCCCTTCAAGTAGAAAAGTAAGAAAATTATTTTCCTTTTGATAGTATCTTTTTTTACACAAAAAAAAAAAATATTTCGGCAAAAAAAACTTTTAGTGCGATTTTTATATATTGGATTATGTTTTATGATATAAATATTATTATTATATTAGAACGTACCCAGAGGTATTGTAAATATATCAGTGCAACGGGAGTGCGCGTGTTATTTTTGTTTTCCTATTAGAAATATTTTGTTATATTTATATACTAGTTAAGGCAACGTGTGAATAGATATCTCTGAAATGACGACCTAAAAAGTAACCAAAAAAAATATAAAAACTCTTTTATTTTGTAGAAAGATATTAAAGCAAAAAAAAAATTACATATGTACTAAAAAAATTTGGTCATAAAAATATAATTAATAAAACTCGTTTTTGAGAGGTATCTTTTTACACAATTTTAGTTTGTACAAATCAATACTGTCGTCTGACAGAAAAGTCATTTTTAATATAGAATACATATTATTTTAATGTAGACGTTATTTTGTTAAATAAGACATTATTTGTATATCTATTGAACATCATTACTTTATATTGCTTTTAACAGTCACTCTATATTATATCGGACTATATAATTTATTCTGACAAAATATTATTTCCTGTTCCTGTATGTAACAATATTTATTTTGTATTTTATTTCATATAACAATAATTTCACTTAACTTTTCCTTTCTTCAAACTTACTGTCATTAATCGTATACGAAAAAGGGTGTTCAATCTTAAGTGGTGTTTCTATAGTTAATGGATACAGTTACAGCTGGCATACTCATCTATTTGCATTATATTTATTGTACATTTGAAATCCAGTACAGTCGACAAAATTTAGTGTGGTGTACATCAACGGATTTCTAAACGTGAATAAATAATCACGCTTTCTTAGAAAACTAACTATAAATCTTGGTATGACGTGTGAAACGGTTGATAATTTGAAGCCCTTTTTTTCATTAGTAAAGGCAAAGAGATTTTATATAAAACTTCTTAAGACGCGGTCTATAATGTGTACAGATAACTTCTAATTACCTACGTCGTGTCTACTATTTCAATGTTATATTTGTAGTTGAGTCATACGCCGCATTAGTGCCTTACAAAGTTATCAATTGAGGCAAACTCAACCGCAGTGTTATACGCCGTTTTATGTTTCCCGTAGATAGAATTGTTTATCGCACGCACACATTTAAATGATGAAATTAGTAAAAACTGACTAGAATCATTTCTATTTCTAATTAAATCCGAGTTTTTTTTTTTCTCTTCACTGACAACCCATAAAAAACGAATGTTTGACACTTATATTATGTGTCCATCAGTATTTCCGTATCTCCTTTATTGCGTTAAAATGATTACATTTTGGAACGAGAGAGCTCTGGGATGCTCTATAGATATCTTTGTTCTCTCACTTCAATAGACGACACTTCTATACAATAGAAAGAGATAAAAAGATCGTGAAAATTTCCCTGCGATCCATATGAAAAATAAATTTGTTTCCAATTATACATTGACATATTAAGAATTATAATATATAACAATCATAATTATAAATACTTTAGGTAAATTTCAAACTGAATAACCACTACACTTTTATTATGTGTATACACTTATATATTGGGGTTAAGACCCCAATCACCAATTATTAAAAATATTTTGTCTTATATTATTTAAATGTGTATTGATTTACCTACTTAACGCTAATCTATTTTATTACTAAGGTAGTGGCGTCTAAGTTCGCCCACAGTTTTTAAGCTCTCAGTTGCTAACGAAGTAACTAAATACGTCGAAAATTCAATTCCGTATTATAAATAATCAGTAGCTCGCAAGGTTGTAATCAAATTGTATTAAAGTTAGTTTTTGAGCACAGGAGGGCTCACAAACAGCTGTCTTAGGCGGTACTACCTTATTAGAATACATATAAACTTCACACCAGCCCCCCTTACTCTCGAACACAATCGTGATCGATCGACATTGCAATTGTGCCGTTGCGTACTCTTGATTGGATATAACCCTAGAGTATGCTAGGGAACCAATCAGTATCCCAGAAGGATAGGCCTTTACAATTGACCTTCGCATGCTAAGGCCTGACACATCTCTTACACTTCACAATTGACCTTTACATACTAAGGTCTGAGACATCTTACATTTTTTCGATAATTATCCCATCACCATCATTGCCACACAAAATCCTGCTAAATTTTCATCCAATACGTCTGGTATTCCATATATCTTCAAAATATCTCTCCATGTATCCATTCAAGCAACCCTTTAATTTTATTTTATCAGAAATGATACATTCAATTTAAATTGCGCTGTTCATCTTTCAGTTATATATATATATATTTATCTTAACTGTACATATATAATATTATTTCATATACATATATAATAATGTTTTTCATTAATTTTTATTTATGTCACTACTTAAAACTGTTTATCATTAGTGCACATGTAAAGTAATTGAGACTGAATTAACACTGCAAAAGAGTCAGTGTTTGTATCTTTATTTATTTATAAAATATATTTATGGTTAAATGAAAAAGAAAACACCACAACCTGTAGATATGTAAATTAGAAAAAATAAGTTTTCATAATGTAAGGATTAATTTTATGTTATTGTATTGTTACGAATGTTATTGTGTGTTAAAAAAAAAGATTGTAAATTAGTTGTGATAATACCGGAGTTGAATTTGATTTCCTTTAAACTCATGTCGGTACTTCAGCTACTTAGAATGACATTAACGCAAAGTATTATATAGTCAAACAATATAACTGTCTTTTTGTATGGAGATCTGAAATGAATTTCCCATATTTTCTGTTTACTTTAGTTCCGTCTGTTTAGTGTGTTTGTGTTAAAAAAAAAAAAGAAATAATATTACAAGGAAATGACATTAATCAAATAAAACTACAATTATAGAGCATTTGACGCCTTAAAAGATAAAAATATTGACATATACAATTCTTAATAGTGTTTGACAAAAAAATCTCACACCAATAATGTCTCGTGTAAGAATGGAATATGAATAGAACGAAAATTACCTCGTAAATCTTTCATTGTTAGGTGTTAATAATACAATAAACATTTTTGTGATTGTAATATGTATATTTAAATTATATTAATAATTAAGACGTGTAAAAAGTTATAATATTGAATTTTATACAAACATGTGAGCATGGAATAGAATATATTAACCTAATCAATATTTTATCTTCCTGCTATATACATGATTTAGTGAATTAGCATTATATATATTATATCTATTGTAAACGGTGTGTGATATGGTCTATTCATAAATTATGAAAATACTAGTTTACGGAGTGATGTATTCTATAACTAAGCTTACAAATTAGATTGTGATTACCATTTGATTGTGTATGGACCATATCCCATCATGCTAATCCTTTGAGTACCTAATTTGTTCAACAAAAATGCTTAGACTCTAATAAAATGTTTTACACTATGAATGATTTTGTGAACAAAGTTGATACGAATTAAAAAAATTACCAAAAAAATTTGTATTTTTCAGAACTCCTATTAAATAAAAAGCAAATATTTGAGTCTTCTTGATAATCTTAATACGGTGTCAATTTTTATTTATCCGTGATTAAAGTTTCTTTATTTTTCTGGTTAAAGCACACGATAAACGTGCCACACTCGATAGTATAGTCGAGCGTTTACTTCGACTGTTTTTTGCTATAAGTTGTTGGTCCCGTAATTTTTTCTGAGGAAATATCGATGCTACCAAAAATATTAGCTCAGTCCGAAGCTACAATGCCTGCTTCATAACGAGACATACTCAGGATCAGATTTTATCAAACTAGTTTTTATTTGTTTCATCGCGACAAAGAATATATTGGTCGCGATTCTCGAATGCCATCATAACCGCAATCGTTGAGTTTAATATTGATTAAGAAAATTTTACGTACTGTATGTGGTAACCTGTTTATGCTACTACCTTATACTAGGGATCGAATACGGTTGAAATTCTCTTTGGATTTATCTATGGCTTTATTTTAGAATGACGTTTTGAAGTAATTGGAAATAATTTATTTTGTATGCTAATATATTATTATTTTTATGAATTTTATTTGACGAAAAATATTAAATAAAATGGAGCACACAAAACCCTTTCGTCCGTCGTCGAATATCAATCGTATTGTTTCTGACGACCACGGTTCTCCATATAATGAGGTAATTTCATATGGCTAATCTTCTACAGGAATAACATTTATTAAAATTTTTCCCCAAGTCTCAACCAGGGAGATATTTCCCGTAAACAAATCGAGCTCTCGCTATAGTAGGTTAAAAAACGATATATCTGTCCTGATCTTTGCAACTATATATAATTTCTATTAGTATGACTTCCTATCTGTCACCCATATCTCGTAAACTGTCATCACCTTCATCATTAAACAATTGAAACTTTCACAGAAAATAATGTATTTCTGTTACCTCTATAACAACAAATACTAACAAAATCAGAATAAAATAAATATTTAACCCAGCTCCTATACAAAAACACGCTCTTTATAGCACAACATAATATAGGTAGAAAATTTATTTTCTTTTGAGGAAGGGTACCTAAGTATTAAAATGTCGTCAACCAGTTTAGTTAGTCGAGAAAATATTAAAAAAAAGTATTAAAAATGAAATGATAATATTTGTCTTTTTACAGGAGTTATATAATATTGACGACGACATTTACAGGTAATTTTATTAATATTATCAGAAATATCTAGCAAAATTAAGCCTGTTTTTGCATGCAATGTAAATTATTATTTTTCTCTTTCAGTTTACCTTATTTTCTCTCTTCTCTGTTTGCAACAATTCTCGAAGATAGCATATCACAAATAAGATTAATCGGTAAGATGAATAATTCCATTCAACCTTCAATATTTATTTATTTTGAAGGCAATAGGAACTACGAATATGTTTCATTCTAGTTGCTATGTATGATATAGCTTCTCGTAGGTGAAATAATTATTAAAATCGATCCAGCCCTGCGATTCTGTAAAAATTCAGACTCCGAATTCGAATTCACTCAGGTGTCCGAATTCAATTCAAAAAGCGGCATCCGCTCAACCTTGAATGAGGAAGTATTTAAAAAATAAAAATAATTTCTTGAAATTATACTAGATGTCAATCGCGAAGTTTGGATTTTATTTATAATATTCCTTCAAATTTTGTTTCTCATAAAAGTAAATTGAGTATCGAAAATTAATAAATATGACATCGTTTTGTGTTTCTTATAATATTTAACTGTTCTCACTTCCATTATGTTCGTGTCTGTTTTCCTCTATACAAATAAAAAATTAATTTATTCAAAAATTACTTTGTATTAATCGAATCGCAGGGCAGTAATTTTCGGGGTCAAACGATGCAAACAAACAATCATATCTTTCCTCTATAATTTTAGTGTAGATTAGTAAACATATATATATTATTATTTACCTACACTTACTACTTACACTTAAGGGACCGTCCATAAATTACGTCACACAAAATTCACGATTTTTAACATCCTCCTCCCCCCTCCTGTCACATGTTTGTCTATACAAATTTATTTATTTATTTATTTAGGTTTGCCAACATTTGTTTACAATATTCCTTTCTCTACTTATTCCAAATTATTCCAAATTCTACTAAATATTGTTCTAATATCACAGTTCTTTGACCCCCACCCCCTCCTAACGTGTGACGTAATTTATGGAAGGCCCCTAAGTACATACCTACTTAAAATATTTAATGCGTACATAATTAAAAAAAAAAATTTGTCAACATCACATACATACATTGCTCAGATTCCAAAATGAACAGTTAAAGTCCCCGTATTATGGAGTATATAAAACAACAAAGGTTCCACAGTACCGAAACCTGAGACAATATAGGAGTCTGTTAACTACATTGACCCGACCAAGAGTCGAATCCGGGACCTCAGAGATGGCCGACAACTTAAAACCGGCGGGCAAACGGAGGTTTTTTATTAAATTTAGAGCTGTTGTGCTGGAACAGATTTCCCTGTTAACCCTTATTGAATTTTTAATATTAATAAAATGAATGAGCAATGTATGTGATATTGTTTCATATTTATTTATTTATTTTCCTGCATATTGATTAAAAACTATGAGCACGTCTAATTTACTAACATAATATCTTACCATATCAGTGCAGGGTAACGCAACCCTCAGTTTGCTAAAGACCTACGTGGACTTGAACCATCTTCGAGCTCTAAAGTACAATGTTGAGCAACCGGCGTTTACAGATGAACTTGATGGTATCGATGTCAAAAATCTTGGCTGTAGTGATTACAAAATCAACAAACTCGACGCTGACAGGTAATAAGTATATGGATATGGAGCTGTTAGAATCTCTCATTCGATAATTCTATTCTGTTCTGACGTCCTCCGTAGCCAAGTGGTTCGCACGCCGGTTTCAAGGTTCTGATGTCCCGGGTTAGATTACCGGTTGGGTCAATGTAGAAAATGAACTTTTTAACGTTGTCTCGGGTTTGGGTGTTGTATACATAATACGGGGGCTTTAGCTTCTCACCTTTCAATCTGAGCAATGTATGTGATGTTTAATATTTATTTATTAATTTTCGAATGTTTGGTTAATAAATCATAACCAATCGCGGCCGCCCGTTATCTATGGACATATAAAGTAAGCTTATCTTAATAGTCGATTTTTTCTTTATAGAAAAAATATAATATATATTTGCCCGAAACAATCGGTTTCTCTAGGAAAACGACCACCTAACTCTAGCCTTAAGACACGACATCCTTGCGATGTTAATATAACGCCTTTTCTTTAATAACGAAGAACGAATGATAAAATATGATAAATATGGATTCGACAGCAGTATTTGTGCGTTTCCAATTTAGTAATTTATTCCAAATTTATCCATTTTATCCACTCCAGGATGCGCTACTGCACGACCAAGCTCTGCTATTATAGTCACATGGTCAGACCACTCTTACAGTGTCATTAATAAACAAGGTTTAGCGTTGGAGTAAATTTACGCTAAGACTGCACTTAGCATTAATCAAAATTAATATTATTTAACAGAGACGTAGCAAAGGTTAACCTTGTGCGAGGTTCTACGAGAGTATTAATTGCTCGTAGAAGTTATTAGGTTTTCTTATTCTGTGTATATTATGAATTTGGACTTATACTAAAATTGCAATTTTAGCGTAAAATTTACTCTGACGCTAAATCTTGTATATACATTCATTGATAAATGATTAGGTAAACATTCAAAGTACCAAGAATTTCTGTTCACAGAATGTTACTTCAACATACTTTTATAACGTTGTACATAGATATGTCAATGTTCAAGAGTTATAGAACTGTTGCTGCTAAAACACTAGTAATGGCAGATCGGGAGAGCTACTATCCGTGCCTCGTTGAGGATGAAGCAAAAAATAGAGTGTAAGTTTGATCTCTTTTTTCGTGGTTATATATTTTTTCCTAATATACTATAGGTGTATTTAGTGAATAAAAGTATTTACTAATAAAATAATCAACAAAGAGCGATTTAAAAAAGAGGCGACCGACCACTCTCTGTTTTCTCCAAAACGAATGAGATAAAAATATTGCGAATTAGGGGTTTAAAAAACTATATTTTTACTATAAATTACAAAGAAAACACATAAAAAAACGTATGCAGTTTTTATTATATACACTTAGCCATAATGTTTTAAAATGATTTCTTAAAGTGAAGACTACTTATACAAAAATAAAATTATAATTAAGTGTACTTTTGAATAACCCTCTAGGTTTATTGATTTTCAACGTCCTTTCCTACTGTATGGCACTGGTCGACCTACAAAATATTACAAGATCCTTAGGTACAGAGCCTGTAAACAACAACAATACAAACAATACGAACAATAAAATAATGCTGTCCATCCTTATAGGAGCACATAAAATTATAAAACAAGGCCAAATACCGGCACTCAATTTTGAACTTAACATCAATAAATTGAAAATTCATGCGATTTAGCCTTTTGTACCTAAACTAACCTAACCTGTTAGATGTGTTGCTGACTGTATTGGTCGAAAGTAGTTCGATGGTATGATTATGAAAAAGAGTCCCTCATACCCCCTGTCATTCGCCAGGCGGCAGGGATTGTGCTTCAAGCATTTACGCAACGAATAAAAAAGGCCACCAGCTGTAAGGATATTAATGGTTAATAATACAATAGCTGATGATGAATGTTTAATAAACAATCTTTAGGAACCGAAGGGAGCTCGTCAAGCAGTTGAGACAACTTCGTAACCACATAAAATCTGTATACTACGATACCGATAGCATCATACAAGAACTGAAAACTAATGTTGAAGTATGTACTTTTTTCAATATTACAAAGATACTTACATAATAATGTTTTAGGTTTGTATGCCGAGATTTTGCTTTTATTGGAATTTTACTTTCAGACCTTGTTCAGAATGGGCTAATTCAGATACGATTTCAAGTTCATTTCTGCAAACATATATTTGTAACACGATGCTTTACTAGTAAAGAATAGATCAAATGTTAAATTCAAAATTATGTTTTGATACTATAATACCTTTCTGTATCTATACTAATATTATAAAGAGGAAAGATTTCATTGTTTGTTTGTTTGCAACGAAAAAGCTCGGAAACTCCTAGACCGATTTTAAAAATTCTTTCACCTACGGGAAGAATTCATATGAGGGGAACATAGGCTTGATTTTAAACCGAAAAACAGCAAAAATAGGTATGAAAATGGAAGTAGAAATTTGTATAGGGAATTAAAACGTTGCCATAGTAATGATTGTTTACTATTCAATTTATTCATTGTAATTTATATCCGTGACATGATATGAATAAATATCTAAATAAACAGCTCCCTAGGGACCATGCGAGCAAAACCGCTGGCAGAAAGCTAGTATAAGTTATACTAGGGCCTAATCTGAGCGTATCTATTAGACGCGTATCGTTCTTGTTCAGAATGAGCAAATTCAAACGCGATTTCAAGTTCATTGCTGAAAACATATATTTGTAATACAATTATTTACAATGGTATAGGTGTTAGGATATCAATAAATAGTTTTGTATTAAACGTTAGTTGTATACCTATACCTGATATTATACCTATAATCTAAGCTATACCCTTCCTAGAGTATTGTTTTAATTCTCTAAGCCTATACGCAAATAATTTAATACAGAAGCTAGTTCAGACAAGAGTGGCAGTGTTAACAGCTGGCTAGGGTCAAGACTACCGTTACAATATCAGTTTTCTTAATTGCATAATTCACTTTTTAGGATTCTGCGCTGAACGCAGAAATCCGTAGCCGATACGTAAAAAGTTGGCAACGTGCCCGCACCGAACAGAATAATGAAACGATCAGAGTCAAGGAGAGTCAACCCCTAGGGCAAATAGAATACTATAAACAAAGAAGTGAGCATGAACACAGAGTACACACTGAAATCGACTTACTCATCAATATCACAATCAATGTAAGATGTCTTATACAACATATGATGAATGTATACAATTTTGATACCTAATATTTACGTATAATATATTTTTAAGAATGGATCTTCTGTATGGTTCGCAGCTTATCTACTGCATTGGTAACGATTTCAGATGACATAAGACATGGTATGTTAAGGAATATCGACAGCTCACGCTCATGACGTTACTCAACCAAAGTAACGCCTTCAACACTATTGACTTTAACATCCTTCTTAATATTTTGCGTTCTCTTATGTGATTTCAAAATTACATGTCAGGCCGTCACAAACCCATTCGTGGTGAAGGCAATTTCTCCACGTGATGCTATATACCTAAACAGCGGACTCCCTCAGGGTAGTTTTTATCTCTTTTCCTAGTCTCCATTTTCATAAACTTATTACTGAGTCACTTAATAGTTTCTATCACCTTTATGCCGAGTTACACTCAGGCGTCGGTGACTTACCTCTTTATGCAGTTACTCTTACTTTGTATCTTTCAGTGGCATGTAGATAACTGAAGTAAATCATTTGATCTCACTGTCAACCTAGAAAAAATCCACGCTTTCTGAGCTTAAGACGAAATATCTGGTTTATTACCCATTACTCTGTTATGAAGTTCCGGATACTTCTTGGAATTCGCTTCCAGAAGACGAAGCTAAAATTGAGACAGACATCTTTAATTGTTTCAGGAAACTCTTGCAAAGGTGGACTCGTGGATGAGTAAGTACGACAAAGATATTGAAGCGATGGACCTCAAGATACAGATCATGAAAAATAATTATGATATGATGCTTGAAAAAAGAAAAAACTTGGAAAAGACGGTAGTTAATTCTATTAACGTTACTTTGAAACAAATATTATTTATTTGTAGAAATATTTAACTGTACCGACTAGAGATAAAACGGATAGAGGTTTGGAACATCGGATATACGGTCGTTTATCGCTTTACATGACATCCATCCATCAGTTTGATTTTAATATAGGCGCTGTGTGATGAACTCGAAAATATTCGGGTGCGTTGAAAGAAGATAAAACTACAACTTCATTTCTTGCCTTTGTTGGTAAGAGTCAAATCTCCGGTATACTAAAAGGCTGAATATCTGGCGCTCCACCCTCATAACTTGCCAAATTACCGGTTTCCGGCCGAACTACTATCAGCTTTATCTCTAATAATTACTACCACCGATACTATAGTATTTATTAGTTACGTAAAGTCAAACACGTAAGTATATTAATATTACATGATCATATTTTTTTTACAGATCGAGGAACACGCAATGCTTATCAAGAATTGGGTGGACTTTAAAGATGCGCGTGAGAAGGCGCGCCTCTACCGGGAGAAAATGACGAACGCAGCCATATCAGTCCAAGCCTGGTGGAGAGGCTTACTGGTCAGAAACCAGTTAGGACCGTATAAGCCGGCGCCGAAAAAGAAGGGTGCACCTGGTGAAAAAGACAAAGGCAAAAAGAAGAAATGATAACACTAATGCAATGTACGGACCGTACAATACTGATTAGGGGTCGTCCATAAATTACGTCACACAAAATTCATGATTTTTAACCCCTCCTGTCACATGTTTGTCTGTATTAATTCTACTAAATATAACGTGTGACGTAATTTATGGATGGCCCCTTAGGTATATTTGAGTAGGCACTTGTTAATGTTCTGTATGACCAATAGATAAAAATATAAACATTAGCCTAGCCACGCTGGCGAAGCGACAGATACAGCCATCATTTATTAAGTTGTAACAAAATTTTTATGACAGGTATGTATCTCATGCGTCACTTTACAGGTACCTACCAAATAGTCATGTAGCGATCGTTTCATTTTTTTCTTGCATTGCTACCTACAAAGGGTATAAAATCTCCATTTAATTTAATAATGTCAAATTATTTTATACTATATGATATTATTGAAATAATCTATTTTGTAAATACTGATATTTCGTAAATTCTATTAATGATTTATTTTGAGAATAATTTAATTTTATAATAATATTGTATTCAAGCAATAATTTAATAAATTGTGTTTTTATAATAACATTTTTTCTTCAAAACTTCATTTAATTTGATGATATAATTGCTTATTTCGGTATAAAAACAAAACGAATGAACTGATGAAAATTTATAAATCACGAAGTACGGGCCGGACAAATTTGTAGTTACTGCTTCGATCAACAATACAAAAAGTCTGGTCAGATTCTCAAAGATGGCCAAAAACATAACGAACGACTCACTTTAAAGTGGGATCTTATTTTAATTTTGTTTGCAACAGCATCAACCTTCGGACATATAAAACTGCAAATATAACTAATAAAAATATCTTTTTTTTACCCCCCTCTTCGGTTTTGCCATGTCCCTCGGATTTAACATTTATTTCTGATGTTTCCATACATTTCAGATTGCGACTGTCAATGGAAATATCTATCAGAATATATTAAAGTGGTATAATATATTTTCTTGTAACCCATAATATATTCACGGTAAAATAATTTAAAGTTTTGGGAACAGCAATTTTTTCTAGGTCCCCTTTACACTGTACCTCAACATACTTAAAATATTTCTTATTTGAGGCAACGCTGAATATGTGTTATTTGATATTCATAAATCTGAAATTTATATGATTTAAGAAAAGTAATTACAATCTATAAAAGTTGTAGCTGTAAAACAAAATCAATTTTGTTTCAAAAAAATATTGACGCTGACCGGAAGCGGCAACGGTCACTACTGGCGGAAAACATAAAGCACAGTTCACAGAGAAAATCACTATCAGCTCTTGAAAGTTTAGACTGAGGCTCTATTCAGAATCTTATAATTTGTATTATTGCTTGGTATATATGGTTATCTTATTAATTCTAATTTATTTTAATGTAATATTTTGATGCAATTTGTAACTCATTTATTCCCTCGAAATGGCGTTTATTTATCGATAGCTCTACAAGAAGCTTAAAAATAGTTATTCATCATAATGAAAATAAATTTCCATCTCTTCCTCTGGCTTATTCTATGTTGAAATAAAATTACGAGAGCGTTAAAATGGTGCTTCAAGCTTTAAAGTATGAAGAGTATGCCCCAGGCATACTCATTGATAGGGGATTTCAAGATAGTTAGTTTCCTCGTGGGAATGCAAGACGGATACACACAACATCTGTGTTACTTTTGCTTATGGGATAGTAGAGCCGATGCACTTCACTACCAACAGCACTCATGGCCCTCAAGAACCGAGTTTCAAATAGGAAAAATAACGTTAAAAGTGAACAAATTGTTAAGCCTGAAATTTTTTTCGAAACGCTGAAATGCATGGATTGGACCTCATTTGCCAATTTTGCCTCATAGTTCTCCGAAGAGTCACAAACTATGATAACTTCATTATCTTTTTGATTCGATACAGTACTCTGGTACTGGTTTTGTTGGTGTAGCATGTTAAAGTAGAGCTTTTTAAATTTATATTTTCGAAATTATTTTTCAGTTCCTGTAAATTTCCTGTTATCATTACTTTTGCTGTTTTTTTAGTTGTGATTTCTTTCTTTTCGTGTTCTTTCATTTTTGTGTAAATATGGTCTTCACGTTTCCATTGATGCTAAGACACATTTTTATCTGGAAATTGTTCATAAAGTGGTTTCAGATCATTGCAAGTCGTGCATTTATCATACATGCAACAATGACGTAGAATGGTTTGTATTTATTAAAGGAGATAGTCCGTATCGTGCACCTTTCTTTCTTACTTGTTAAATAGGTTCACAAGGATGTCAGATAGGTATCTTATTTGTTCTTTTCTATTTTTTTCTTGTCCTAGTTTCCTTTCGTCTAGCTGTATTGCGACTTACGTCATCTTTTAAATAATAATTTCCGGTATATTGGGACGCTTAAATATTTTTTTCTTTTCCTTAGGTTTACAAATTAAGCCCAGCTTATTTGAAACATAGATTTTATTTTTAGCATTATGCACCGGTTGACATAATATTTTATTTTCCTTGTGAGTTCTGCTATTTTTTTAAGTTCGTTTTAATGTACTTTCAAGAATATCCTCTCTCGCCTTAATTTTTTTATTAATGTTCTCTAACTCTGCAATATTTTCTATATATATTTTTGTAATGCGCTCGCTGATTTCGTTTTTTATAGGTTTCATTTCGTGTTTTGAAATTTTTGATCAAATTTTGGTATCTGTGGCATTTTGTGACTAGTACTCTACATTTATTGTAGTATCTTTTAATGTTTTCATCGCTGCGTCTGTCCCTATTACAGGATTCATTGTCTCATTTGGTAAGCCATTTTTAAAATTTTTTGTTTCGAGCTTTACGTCAATTTTGTTGACACAAATTATTATCATTTTAGGCCTGGCAGCCCCCTGCCACAACCCCGCCGCTCAGGACCGGGCGACGCGCGCGACAGACATAATACATAATGCATGAGACTCATACGCACGCACCGATGTGACGTGCCCTCACGTTTCCGCGCAAGCGCAGTGCCCGCCAATCGCGGCAATCGATGTCAGAATTTACCAATCGTGAGTTTTACGAGATGGTACGAGTTTATCTTCTGAGTGGTGAGAACCCTTAGGGATCCGTAACCCCGCGGCCCCTAATGCGCGAACCATTATAACAGACGAAGTCCCAGAGTCAGTACCTACGATGCGGCACGTCGCTTTGGTGTAAGCCAGCACGCGGTATTGAAGCTGCTTAATACAGCCGGATTCCATCCCTACCACTTTCAGCCGGTTCAGCAGCTTCATGACCTAGAACCAGTACCACGTCGAGCCTTATGCGAGAGGCTTCTATATCACTGCGATGCAAACTTCTTGTGGACATATGAGGCATTGTTCATACGTGTGGGACTGTTTCTTATGGGAAGAATTCAAACGCCGGGATGTAGAGGAGGTACAAAGCCTAGAAGACTTAACAATAAAAAATAATAACGCTTTTTGTGAAGTGAAAAGTGACACTAGTGTTTTAAATAAATTAAATAACAACTTAATGAAATGTGCACGTTTATGTCTGGACAGAGGTGAACTTCATTTTGAACAAATATTAAAATATAGTGATCATTTAGTTAAGTATTTATTATTTTTCATTCAACATTATTGTAAATACGTAGTTGATTCCAATTTTTTAAATAAGTCTTCACGCAGAAGTACCTATGTAACCTAGCCATAACGTTAATATTTTTATCTAGATAACGAATTTGTTTCTCTTTTATTTATTTTTTTGCATTTTGATGGCCTTAACCATAAAAGAATGAAGGGAAAATTGGAATTACTCTTACAAATCACCTCAGGATCATGGCATAAATTCTAGTTCGAATCTAACAAAATGAACGGTCAGTGACCCGTGTAGATAGTATCTACATACCTACGGCGTCGATCGCGCGCTCAGCTGACGCACGGCGCGCGGTGTCCATAAATTAAGTTTTAAAGTCTCGATCTTTGGTAAGCGATAACTTTATTTTTTAGTATTAGAACATATAAAAATAAAAAATACGTGTTTGTTTAAAATTACTTAAAGTTTTTTCACAAAATCTTCGCAGTGGTTTTAAGTTATTCCTGTGTAATTACAGGTGTTTTTTATAAAAAAAAAAAATTACAATGCGACTCCATACTTAACCAGTTTCGGAGCTCAGTTGTCTCCTAGAGTATTATCACAGAATATACTCTGTGGTACTATGTTCCTTAGATATCGCAGTGTATTGCCTTCCGTATTTGAGTATTGTTGTAGTATGGAAGGCGTTACATTTTTGTATTGTTGATCGAAGAGTTACTGTCTTTAATATTTATTTATTGAATTTTTTCTGCCTATAAAATAGCAAATACCGAACTTATGCCGAAAAACCATTCTCTACCTATCAAAACGGTGAAAATGTACAGTAATGAAGCATTGTGAAAAAAAAATTAAAGGCGGTATCAGTAAAATTTTAATTGACCTTAAATAAACGATCTTTAACAAATCTAAGGGTAGATTTGTATGTATGATAAAATAACAAGAAAATAAGTTTGAAAAAAATCTATTCAACATGCCTAAACCTCGTACCTCAGATTTCGAACATAGCTTACAAGCTCCTCAAATAGAAAAGTACCTCCTTGATGATTTATTATCTATGATAATAAGATGAAATTGATAATTGACATTATTCGACAAAACAATTCAGGAAATTCATAAAAGATTATATCCAATAACGTTGTTTAGTATTCGCTATTTTATTTTTAAGAAACATTTAACTAGATTTACGTTATTTAAGCGTTTTTATTTAAGATTTTTATATAAGTTTACAAGAAACATTGTTATTTTGTAGGTACAAAAATCATGGAAAAGGTAATTTGTTTTACTTGTCCTCCTAATAAGTGTGTAAGTTGATAGTAACTGCAGTAAGCATTCGTGACCAAATAACTCACATATAGTCTAAGGTCGTAACTAAAAAATTGTACAAGAGCTTCCTAAAGCTTGATTGTCGTCACTCAGTACCCAGTACAGTCAGTTGCTGAAACACCTCCTTATTCTCGAACGGCTGAGTGGTAAGTGCCAGTTTTACGTTAAAGTGTTCACTAGTGTGTGCGTTCAGAATTTGTATGGAAATTTATAGTTCTTGATAGTTAGGGGATTCCATACTAAAATCTTAACGCGCTCACAATCAACATTATTAACATAGTCATGCACACATACATTTTATGTAATACTAGAAACAAAGATAAACTTGTTTTGCCGTCATGCAGACTAAAGAACGTTATATCAACATTTATGGATCAAGATATACACTACTATAACATAATTCCTCTGGACATTTTAAATTTACCATTACCTAAAAAGACCCATATTAAGAATTGTCTACATATACTTTATATTGTACTGATAATGAACATTTAAATGACAAAACTGCTTGGTGTTAAATAAGGCTTTTTATGTATATTAAATTATTTATCGTTGAGCTTGTTTGAATAGACATGTGATTCAATTGACATAATACTGTTTTACTTTTTATATTTTTTAAAATTGTGATGTGAAGTGACTTCATATTTTAATGAAGTCATTTTTCCATCTTGACGCTCTGTGTGAAATAAAACAGGGAGACAAAAGCAACCCTTGCCGAGTTTTTTGCCGGTTCTTCTCGGTACAAGGTCTCCCGCCATGGATTTACGAACCGATGGAGTAGCTCTTGAACTTTCACAAGTGCTTGTGACAGTCTAGACTGAAAAATTGGGACTGAAAAAACGGTGATCATAAACAACAAAAAACTTACACTTATTAACGTTTATTTATTTAAATTAATTAACTAAAACGTTATTCTTGATATAAAAAAGTAGAATAAACTGCTCAGTTTGTACAATCATGAAACGCAGCGACTCAGAAATTGGTGTGTAAATGACCTCCGAAACAATTCGTAATTGTTGAGAGTTAATTTATTATTATTATTGATATATAATCAATTTTTCATTCACCATCGAAATATTATTAACGAAAAATGCTTAAAAAATAAACCAATCTGGTACTTTGAGATGGGACTTCTCATAGAAGCATATTTTAAGGGTAGACGTCACTCTCCAATTTTATTTCCTATATCATTTAATGCTTATCTTTTTAGTCTACTTCAGCACTTGCGGGCAATATAGATAAAACTACGTCCATACATGTTTCAGAAAGTGTTGAAATCACTAAGTCTTATGATAAGAATTGGTAAGTAGACAGCATTAAATCATATGTAGGTTGGAAGCATTTGAAAATACATTTCTAATCAACATAAATCTTATTAGAAAGTTTCAGTATTTAATTTACACGTAAGTAGGTATATAGAATCAATAAGAATTACTTCCATATCCATACTAATATTTCCTTAAATGTGCGTAGTACGCACGTCCGTACCTTCTAAATTTTCACCAACAGTGTTGATAGTAACTTGTGTTCTGTTTGGTGGATTCTAAAAATTTGACGAACCTTTCACGGGACCTTTTACTATAAATGGGACAATTTGTTTGCCTTCTTTCACATCGCAATGAAGTAAGTATCAGTATGAAATGATTTTTGAGTAGGAAAGTGTCCAATTCATTCAGGAGAGCTGGAGAGAGACAGGCTACTTTTTACAGCAAAAATCAATTTAGTTACTTGCTCCTAACGACGGCGATGGTGATACCACTCTAAATATTTATTATGTAGGTGCCCCAATGTCCCTCTCTAAGTGTGCGACCGCTAAACTCTCAAGTCATAAAATAAGACATCTTAGCGATTATTATGACGATATTTCCTTTAATTTTACTACTTTAATGGGTCTTTTGGGGAATCCATTAAGGATAAATAACTGAGTTGGGATCCCTGCTATCGAATTCATATTCATCATTCTTTATCATTCGTTCTTCGTTATTAAAGTACATGTCAAAGGGGTAAAATTGAATGAAATGGAGCTATAACATCGCTAAAATGTCGTATCCCATTGCTAAAACTAGTAAATTTGAGAAGTGTTCTACTTACCAATAAAAAGAAATCCCTGTCGTGGCTTTACTTGAGGATTGGTTTCTTGTTTTGCAATTAATAACTACGCAAGACGACTTTCTAACACTTTAAGTGGTGTGTTTCATAGTACTTACAGCGCCCGCGTTCCTAAATCACTAAACATTACGATCGCGACTTTACGACTTCACCAGTCATGATCCTGTACATTTGTCCAGAATCATGGCTAAGCTGCCACGCCCACAAGGGTCTCTAACGTTTTTCTATGTTCTGTGGCTAGAGGAGTTAAGCGATCGCTCTAATGATCTCATCATAGTACCTATGATAAAGTAGAAGGATGCATACGGCGGCAGATGCATACTTATAACGACATCTAGGAAATTAATACTAATCTAAATTTTTCCTACATAATATCGCTTATTATTATTGGCTGGTATTAAATAAATTAAGTGTTTATTTCCATTTTTATGATTCCAGTTTACCGTATTTTGTTTCATCATTTTTTGCCTCGATATTAGAAGACACTGTTACACAATTAAGGATTCTTAGTAAGTTTATCTTCATTCTTTTTAGTACAACTTACGGAACAATTACTTTGCAACTTTTTAAGAATTGACAATTAAGAATGTCTCATTTTTGTATTATTAAAACTTTTTCTTTTGCGTAGTACTGAAAACAATATTAGATAGATATTTTGTGAATTTTCAGCTGAATCTAATAATGAACTGCGTATTCAGAAGACTTGGTCTGACATGCCTTTACACCTTGCGCTGAAGTTTGGTGTAGAGCAACCTGCAATCAAAGATGAATTGGAGGGCATTGATTCTGAAAAACTAAGTTGTATGGAATACAAACTCAATAAATTAGACGCTGACAGGTAGGTTACTGCCGCTAATCTCTCCTATATATTCACATAATGTCAAAGTAATGGACATTTACCATTGAATGACGGCATATCTGAATATTTAAATGTTCAAAAATACAATGATAAAGTTTGAATCGTATACACCTCAATGTCATTACGTATAAATAAAACCCATTATTAAACCCACAGGGAGGCTATTGAAAATAGCATTTATTGCGAAATATATAACCTCTTTATTGGCAGTAATAAAGTTACTTCAAACTTGAACTTATTTGGTTTTTATTAGTATTTATTACCTTTCTGTGCTGTGGGTTTAGAGTTTAGAGTGGCTAACTATTAAATCTGTTTGCTTAGAAATACCTAGCCAGAGTGTAAGAATAGTAATAATTATACAGTAAAAATAAAGCTATTGGACGTCTTTATTATTATGAAGCTGAAAAAGAAAAGGAATTGTAAGCAATCAGGATATTAAATGATCAGTCCAACACAAATAAAGGATATCTTATGTTGCTCCTCAGAAAAATGGTTACCAAAACATTCGTAGACATATATCGGGACCTGACATTGGAAAAGAAGTTTTCTGCACTCACAGAAATCGTCAACAGCATCTTAAATCTTGATGATCAACGCGAATTCCTGAGAGAAGACGAAGCCAAAAATAGAATGTTAGTAATAAAAACTTCACCTAAATAATTCATAATGTAATAATTTATGACCTAACAAAAGAGAAATATTTCTATGCCAACAATTTTAGAATTCCCGACATGTTCCGAATAAATTTATCTATTTACATACTATTTTTACGGCAATGGATGAATTTAAACACAATTTTTTTTCAATATACATGGAAATAATTCTATTAATATGTTTATAATTCGCAGATTCCGCCGCGAGTTGAACAAGCAATTGAGACAACAAAGAAATCATATCAAAACAGTTATTTACGATTCTGACGTGACCATTGATGACCTGAAAAGTCAAGTGGAGGTACAATTTAGCAAACAAAATAATGAAATTTTTGCACTAACGAAATTAATGTGAAACTTCATTTAAATCTTAACGGACAGGATGCCCAGTTAAACTCGGAATGCCGCAGTCGTTACGTGGAAAACTGGCAGCGTGCGCGTACGGAACAGCACATTCAAACCATAAGAGATCTTGAGAAGCAACCTTCCGAGTCTATTGAGTATTACAAGCAGAGGGCAGATCACGAACACCGAGTCCATTCAGAAATTGAAATGCTTACAAACACCATTATTAACGTAAATAACTTTTTAGCGAATTGTGTGTGACATTTAAATTACTGATACATCTTCTTTGTGTCATCGCGTAATTAACTTAACATTATTGTATTCTTATACCTATGCTAATTTAAGCTCTTAACATTCATACATTATTCGAGCTACAGCTTGAGATTACCTATATGACTGGAATCAAAGACATAATCAGCCAGTTGTTTAAACGTTACATACAAATATTCAAATTTAGAACATTCGTTAGAATTTTAAATAAACAAACATTAATGGACGTTTGTGCAATTGACCGAATGTCTGTCTATCTTTAATAGATTTTGTATGACGTATAAACGTCGGCTTACGGACGACCAAATAAATATAAAAGCCTTGAAACGCCTAATTATAAATGTTAAGTTGAATCTTGACTGCTAATTATTTCTCCACAATATCCTATAGTTTTTACCTTATCCAGGAAACTTTGCAAAAAGTAGAAGACTGGATGAATAAATATGATAAGGATATGGAAAATATCGACCTAAAGATACAAATAAAAAAGAACCAATATCAAGACACGTTTGACAAGAGGGTGAATCTCGAAAAAACGGTAGATACCATTTGATTCTCGTATCTATATTTGTAAACCCCTTTGACAGATATATGGAAAGTTTTCCCTCTTCTATTGTATTCGTGGACAACATATATAAACACCTTACATATAGCAATTCGCCAATTGGTTCTTCTTGCACTTTTCGTCCCGTAATATACTCGTAGAATCTGGTTTTCAGAAAAACTGTTGATGTTTTAGTACAAAAGAAGAGCCTTGACATCACATCCAAGAAAGTTGAAGCGGCTCACTGTCATATTTCTTTTTTAATGCCATCATGTGCCACGCGTATTACCACAGTAATTCCTACATCTGTGTGAGGGTTCTTGATAATAAGACGCCAGCTCGATGCTTTTAGATATTTATTCTCTATACAATATGTTATAACCCAACCACCATGATATCCGGCTCGTCCCAGAGTATATACTGCCTCTCTCACAGACTACATATATCAGAGCGCACAGAGCTACCTCTTACATCCCTTTTCTTTTCTTAATTAATCAACATAATTATCATGCAAGTAATTAGGTTTTCTTACAGGTCTACCACATCTAGTTTTACGAATTTCACTATCCAAATTATCTAAATTGAAAGTTACAGTTTTCTTAGGTTTACTACTGCATTTAACTTTTTCATTATTAGTACTTCCAATACAATCATTTTCTATATTAGAGTTTTCAAACTCTGTACAATCTATAAAATTATCAGTTTCATCACAATTAACATACTCAAAATTAATGTAGTTATTCTCATTAGTATTATTACTTGATATGTCGCTATCATTATTATAGTCGACATTTACATTATAATTATCATTATTACAATTAACATTTTTGTTAATTATATTCCTGTTTACATTCATGTTTTTCTCCAATATACATTCTAAATCCTCATCATCATAATCATATGTATTTTTAGACCTAAACTTCTTATACTTTGATCCTCTAAATATATTGTATCTATTTCTTATAACTTTCTGACCGTTCTCTAATAGTACTTCATAGGTTCTATCTTCGCCCCCTTTTTTAATAATTTTACCCGGAATCAAGTTTTTCTTATTCCTATCTCTTATAAACACATTTTGTTCATTGTAAAATTTTAATTCTTTACCCTTATGTTTTCTATCATGAAACATTTTATATTTCTCATTTTTACTTTGCACATACTTTTGTATTTTCCTATATTTATGTTCATTATAATTTCTATTTATTGGTAAAAAAGAAGACACTTGTCTACCTATCATTAACTCATTAGGTGACTTTAATGTATTATCTATTGGTGTGTTTCTGTATTCTAATATAGCCAAATTAATATCTTTACCATCTTTTAAACATTTTTTTAACATTCTTTTAATTGTTTGTATGTGACGTTCCACCATACCGTTTGATCTGGCATAATAAGGTGTGGAAGTCTTGTGTTTAAAATCATATTGTTCACAAAAGTCTCTAAATACAAAACTTCTATACTGAGAACCATCATCAGTATACAATAAATCAGGTATCCCCCATCTAGCAAAAGTTATCTTAAGAATTCTTATATGTTCCTCAGCTGATTGGTTTTTTAATTCATATAATTCTATATATTTTGTTAGATAATCCACTATTAATAAAAATATTTTATTATTAAAGAAAAACATATCAGCACCAATTGTGCTCCATGGTTTACAAGGTACTTCTCTTAACTTAAGAGGTTCATAGTTATGACTTTTTTGTTGCTCTAAACAAATATTACAATTTTTAATCATGTCCTCTATTTCTTTATTCATATGTGGCCAATATAATAAACCTTTGATTCTATTTTTACATTTTTCATAACCCATGTGATTATAGTGAATTTGTTTCAACATATCTGAACGTAGAGATTTAGGTACTAGTACAGCAGAATCCTTAAATATTAAACCATTAGCTACAGATAGACTTTCCTTAATAGAATGATAAAATTTCAACTGAAATGGAATTTCCGAATATTTAGGCCAATCATTTTGAATATAGTTCATTAACAATACAAAATTTTCATCTTTAGATGTTTCTTCCTGAAATAATTTTAATTTTTGTTCTCTTATACTTAAATTTTCTATTATCATACATACATGCATTTCAATTTTCTCATCAATATCCTGATTACAAATATTATCTTGTACATAAGATCTAGACAATGCATCTGCTACTAAAAGTTCTTTACCTGGTCTATATTTAATATTCAAATCATAACCCTGTATACGCATTCTTAACTTTTGTAATCTTAAAGGAGTTTCATTCATAGATTTTTTAAATATTTGCTCTAATGGTTTGTGATCCGTTTCTACATTAATTTGTTTGCCATATATGTACTGATGGAATTTCTCACAAGCATAGACAATTGCCAATAGTTCCTTCTCAATCTGAGCCCATGATTTTTGTGACTCAGTTAATGCTTTGGAAGCATAAGCTACTGGTGCATCTTGTTGCAGTAATACTGCTCCTAAACCTGTGCTACTACTATCTACTGACAAAGTTATAGGACTATTTATTTCAAAAAATTTAAGAACTGGTTCTGTAATTAGAATTTGTTTTAATTTATTAAAATCATGTTGTTGTTTCTCTCCCCAAATGAATACAGAATCTTTTTTCACTAATTCCCTTAATGAGTTTGTAATATCTGATAAATTAGGTATAAATTTAGATACATAAGTTAAAATCCCCAAAAAAGTTTGCAATTCTTTTTTATTAGTTGGTTCATTCATATTAACTATTGCTCTTATTTTCTCTGGGTCAGGTCGTACACCTGTACTACTCAAGATGTGACCTACATATTTGACCTCTGTAACACCAAACTGACATTTATTTATATTAAATTTCACACCTGCTTCTTGAGCTCTATTTAAAACTTGTCTTAATCTATGGTCATGTGAATCCTGTGATGAGCCCCATACTAGTAATTCATCTACATACTGTTCTACCCCTTCTATGTTACTAAATATATCATGAAAACATTTACTAAAAACTTCAGGAGCTGAGTTCAAACCAAAGGGTAACCTTTTATAACAATATCTACCAAACTCACCAGCATTGAATGTAGTATATAATTCACTCTTTTTTGATAATTTAATCATATAAAAACTTTTAGATGCATCAAGAACTGAAAAATACTTAGCATTAGGCATTTTAGCAACTAATTCTTCAAAAGTACTCATTTTAAATCTTTCTCTTATAATACATTTATTTAGATTCTGTGGATCCAAACATAATCTGATAGTACCATCACTTTTTTTTGTCACAACCATGGAATTAACCCATTCAGTAGGTTCATTAACCTTTCTAATGACACCTAAACTTTCTAGTTTATCTAATTCACATTTTATTTGTTCTTCTAATTTAAAAGGAATTTTCCTAGGTCTTTCTACTATAGGCACACAATTTTCTTTCAATTTAATCTCATATTCATAATTAATTTTACCTAAACCCGAAAACAAGTGATCATATTGAGTTACAATGTCATTTTTGTTTACTGTGCATATATTATTTATAATACCTAGCTTTACTGTAGTAGAGTAACTTAATATACAAGGTGTATCAAAATCTACTATAAAGAATTTACACATAAAATTATTATCTTTATATCTAATATTTGCTTCACAAGCTCCTGTCATTTTAATATCAGAACCATCAAAATTTGTCAATCTTATATTTTTAGAATTATATAATTTTAGTTTCAATTGTTTCATAGTATTTTTATTTAATATATCTACATGAGAACCTGTATCAATCTTAAATTTTATATCCTTGTTGTTTAATTTCAAATTTATATACCATTCTTTATTTACTGAATTTACTTTATACACTGTATCAATTTTACATTGTTGTATTTCTTGTTTGTTTACTACTGAACACCTATATGTACAACATGCTGCAAAGTGGTTAAATTTATTACACTTCATACATTGTTTACCATAAGCCGGACACTGTGCATATGCATGAGACTTGTTGCATTTTCTACACGGTCTTGATGTACTCATATCACGTCTAAAGTTCTCACCCAGTTTCTCCTTTGAAGATCTGTGTTGATTACTAAGCTGTCTGCTACTGCTTGACTGCCACTTAGTCCCTGCTGTTTTAGCTCGACCAGGAGTTCTACTGCGACCCCTGGCTGTCATCTCTCGGCTCGGTGTTCGCGTACGATGATTCCTATTAACTGCTCCGATTTCACTTGAATTATGACTATTATTTAGATTCTTCAATTGACTTTGTGCTACCTGCGCCGCTTGACATAACGTTACACATTTATTCAAAGTTAAATCTGGTATTCTCAGCAGTTTTTCTCTTATATTGTCATCATTTATTCCTAGTATAATTTGATCTTTAATTAGACTGTCTTTCAATGTTTGAAAATTACAATCCAAGCTTAGGTGTTTTAAACAAGTAAGATATTCTTCAATTTCCTCATTACATTTTTGTTTTCTCGAAAAAAATAGGTAACGGTTATATGTTTCGTTGGAAGGTGGACTACAATGTGTTTCTAATCTCAAAAGTACCTCCCTATAATTTATTTCATTTTTATCTTCGAAGCTATTATATATTTGTAAGCCTTCATCTCCTATGCAATGTAATAAAAGTGCCTTTTTCTGTTCGTCGGTCAAGCGTTGATCTGCTCCGCTTGCCAAAAAGTACAAGTCAAACTTCTGCTTCCAATTTTGAAAGCTTCTCTGTTTGTTACAATTTTCAAGCGATAATGGCGGAGGAGGTTGTAATAATTCCATCTTCTATATCGTAGTAATTATTTATCGTACCTTTATTTATAATACAGTCCGTAGGTCCGCAGCGCCATGTGAGGGTTCTTGATAATAAGACGCCAGCTCGATGCTTTTAGATATTTATTCTCTATACAATATGTTATAACCCAACCACCATGATATCCGGCTCGTCCCAGAGTATATACTGCCTCTCTCACAGACTACATATATCAGAGCGCACAGAGCTACCTCTTACAATCTGTGTGTTTATTTACAGATTGAGTTACACGATCAGCTTATGAAAGAC